AAAAAAAAAAAAAAAAAAAAAAAAAAAAAAAAAAAAAAAAAAAAAAAAAAAAAAAAAAAAAAAAAAAAAGGAAGCTGCAGTTTTGCATGCTTCTCTCACTCATTCTTTCTACAAGATGAACTTCCCTAGAAAGAATCCAATGAAAATGGCTGCAATTACAACAAGAAGTGAAGGAAGAGAATTAGAGCCATTATCTCTGAGGGCCAAAGCTGTGGGTGATCCAGATTTATCCGAGTGCGCTACCTTTCTGAGCCTCAAGCCTTCATCCTGAAGGGGAGGAGAAAAACACAGATAGGAAAAAATTATAAATACATCCTCCTAACAATACTAAAAACAACTGAAAGGCCAAATTTGCTGGTGAGTATTTAAATGAACTTAAAAAAAACCAAAACACACACATCATCACACCACACTGAAATCTAAAACACGGACATAGAAAACCACAATGTTTCAAATAAGAACAAGTAATCCACTTGTCTATCTATGTTTTGGTTAAAAAAGATTCCAAAAATCTTGACAGGCACAATGAAGTATCTTGATTTTATTTACTACGTGTCAAAATTAAATAGCAATAATTCCTTATTGTTAAGGAGAAATATCTACTTTGTGTAAACTTCATCCGAATTGCAGGTGTGGAGACATCATTATTTCATGGTTCTTTAAAAGGCTATTGTGGCCAATGAAACTCTTAGAACTGTTCCAAAGGCAAATATATGGGTAAGTTCCACATAGTCATGTATCGACTAGTTACAGCTTACCTAAAGGACACCTTTACATGAAGGTACTGGAAAGTACTGTTTGCTTACCTCCTCTGACCAGCAATTAATTGTTCTTGTTCACTGCCCCTTTGTAATACAAAATGTTACTGCTCTGGATCTCATTGACTCATTCTTAATGAATAATAATGCATTTTAAATAAAAGCTACTAATGCACTATTTTTGATTTAGACTTAAAGTAACTAAGACCACCTTAAATAGGACAGTTGCATTTAAGAAGAAAGTTATGTAGCTTCAATGTCTCATCCATGACAAGTGCAAAGTCTCAATCACTGAGAAGTTCAAAATACACAGTATATACAGGACTGTAAAATTATATTACAAATCAATCTTGACATTCTAACAGTTTTATCTACTTGCTGAAATACACATCTTTTGGCCTAATTACAAATCAGACCTTTCAATCAAGGGGAGTGAAGTAGTGAAGTCACTTCAATGTAAACACAGACGCAGAACTTACTCTCAGGTGCCGATTTTCATCTGTCAGCTTCATAATCTCTGCTTGAAGTCTTTTGCACTCCTCCACCAGCTTCCTTGTTTCAGTATCATTAAGTGAAACGCTATGTGGTTTTGGCATCGGTCCATCCTGCTTAGATGTATTCAGTACTGGGGCGGATTTGCTTGCATCTATATCATTCTACAAATATTAAGAATGACTTGAGAATTTTACTTCCTAGAGAAAAATCACCCACAGCTTAAAACTAGAACAATGAAGCTACTACTACAGTTTAATGAAGTTTATATTTACAGTAATCTGAACAGACAGTTCCGTTATCAGTTCAACTCTGATTAGCTCAAATATTAAAAAGCAAGAGCAGATTGCACTGTTTACATCTGGTACTACACACTACTGAGACACAAATTTATACTTCGGCTGCTTAACACTGACCCAAGAGACATCCAAAAGAGGGCATAAAATACACCAAACAGCATTTGAACTTGAGGGGGAAAAATAAAATGAAGAAAGTAATCCTGCAATGGTAAGAAACAAAACAAAGTAAAAACCAAACAGGTCTTCTTACAAAGTCCTACGAATTATGTATGACACAAATGTTTTGCACTTATCGCACCTTTTAGTGAGGGAAAATAAAGTACTGAACAAACATGAAATTTAAATCTCACAGCATCTGAGATACACAGTGAAATACTAGTGAAAAGTCACATAAAAAGCTGTGAAATAGCAAAAAATAAAATTAAAATCTTGTTCCCACAGCTCTGGTCAAAACCAGAGAATCATAGGATGGTTTGGGTTGGAAGAGACCTTAAAGATCATCTAGTTCCAACCTGTCTGCCATGGGCAGGGACACCTTCCACTAGTCAGGTTGAACAAAGCCCCATCCAACCTGGACTTGAGCACTTCCAGGCACGGGGCAACCACAGCTTCTCTGTGCAACCTGTTCCAGAACCTCTCTACCTTCTGAGTAAAGAATTTCCTCCAAACATCTAATCCAAATCTCTCCTCTTTTAGTTTTAAAACTGTTCCCCCCTTGTTCTATCACTATCTGCCTGTGTTAAAAGTCACTCTCCTTCATTTTACATAAGCCCCCTTTAAGTACTGGAAGGTTGCAATGAGGTTTCCCTGGAGCCTTTTCTTTCCCAGGCTCAACAATGCCGGTTCCCCATCCCATCTTCCTAGGAAGGCTCCAGCCCTCTGATTATCTTCACAGCCCTCCTCTGGACCCCTTATAACAGGTTCACATCTTTCCTGTGCTGAGGTCCCCTGAGCTGTTGGCTTTCTGGGCTGCAAGCACACAATGTAGAGTCATGTCTAGCTTTTCATCCACAAGAACCCCCAAGATGTGGGAAACCTGACTTCCCGTGAAGACTGAGGCAAAGAACTCAAGGAGTACCTCAGCTTTCTCCATATTTGCTGTCACCAGTTCTCCCTGTTTAAAAAGGGGGAATCACTCTCTTTGACCTTTCTTTTCTGACAAAAGTCATAAGAAGCCCTTCTTGTTACACTTCACACCCCTTGCTAAACCTGATCCCATCCCTATACATCCAAATTATATATCCCTGTACTTCCTAAGTCACATGCCCCTGCTCTCACTGCCTTGGCATTGCCTTCTTACTCCTCAATGTGAGGAGCAGATCCTTGCCCAGCCATGCCAGTTTCTGGCCTGCCTTCCTTGATTTCTTATGTATCAGGATGGAAAGCTCTTGCACTCTAAGAAAACTTTAGGCCTTAAAGGGGCCTAAAGCCCCTTAAGAGTGGCTCTAAAGAGCTGACCTAAAGAGTTCCTAGGAACAGTTTCCCAGGGAATCCTATCCATTTATTCTTGAAACAGCTGGAAGTTAGCTCTTCAAAAATTCAGGGTCCTGACTTTGCAATTTGTCAGGTTCGTGTTCCTTGAGATCATGAACTCAGTCAGGGCATGGTCACTACAGCCAAGGCTGCTCCAACATCATTAACTTCTTTAATGAGCTCATTCACACTGGTGAGAAACAGGTCCAGCAATGCTTCTCCCCTGTTTTATTGGCCTAGTCCCTGGACCATGGTTTTACATGCAGGCATTCATGCTATTTACCCCTACACATGCCTTACAGACTACCATAAAAACTGGACAGTACTAAAAAAATAAAAATCTTAAAGCCATGAAGGCAGTAAGGTTGCCAACAGAAATCCTACTTAAGCACTCTTATTCATAATGTTATAAGCAGCACCAAAAAAACCCACCTCCCCCAAGAAAACGGATACACAGGATTAAGATTCCGTAAATCAGAATTTCAAGTATTGCGGGTAAAAAAATATGCTAATGCTTAAGAATTTAGTCATATTCTGCAAAACTTCTAGGCAACTGACAGTTAACTATTACTCCAAACATCAGGCAACACAAAACAGACATCTTCAGTCTATATACAATTAAACTGTCATCTCCTACACAACCAGAATAGATTTTGTCTGAAGGCAAGAGCATGAAAGAGGTAATAGACTTTTTTTTTGTCTGATTATTTGTCTTTACCACTACCTTATAAAAATGCACTTGGGATTCCCAAAGCATGCATTAATTCCTAATCAGTTCTTTCTTCTCTAATTCAACTGAATTAGAAACAGTATTTTTAAAACTGAAAATCACTTAATACTATAAAGAAAACAATGCCATTCGCTTTTCACAGTATGCAGTGCTGAAGATTTTCTTTTTAAGTCTGACAGCAATGAGATTCCAAACCAAATCAATAATAAAAGTAACAAAAGGATAATAATTTCTGGCACTGGTATCCATTGCTGGAGTTTTTTAAGATGTGGTTGGATAGCACGCTCCCTTTCAGACAAAAGGTTGAACCAGATGGTATTTCAAGGTCCCTTTAAAACTGGGCTGCTCTGTGATTCTATGAATCCTTAAAAAGTCATATACTAAACACCTCTCCTGTCTAATTCAGTACAAATTCCTTCAAGCCACTTAATCATTAAATCAAATAGGTTAAAAAAAACCCTCAAATTTCTGTGGGATCCTATCAGTCAGTGTATGGTAACTTCTTACCCCTTACTTACCAGTTTATCATTTTCGTTGGGCATTTCAAACACACATCTCAATTTGGAGTCCATTAACTCATCAGGTTTTGCTTCTTTCCACTAAGACAAAAATTAATAGAGTTACTTAACTTGCCAGGCTCAGGCAAACATCTGAACAGTTCATAAGCTTGCTCTTAGTACTCGCCTCCTCTACAGCTGGATATTGTCCTTACCCTAGCTGCAACTTTCAGACTTGTTTAAGAACTATGCTTTTTGTTCACATTGACTACTGTGAAGTAAAAAAAGCCAGAAATGGTTATTCAGGTCTGGAAATTAAAGACAGTAAACTGAACGTAAGGCTGGATCCACCAGAGGTTTGTATGGGACAGGGAGGGGACAATCCAGCATTTTCTTTAACACACAATTAGAACAAAGTACCATCTGAGTCAGTTTGAGAAGAAAGTTCTATAACGCCTCAGTAAATATATTTCTTACATTCCATCTTGGAAGCACCAAACAAAAGACTGAAAGACACCTTTTAGTGACTCTATATTTGTTTCCCAGTAAATTTCTTTAGTTCTTCATATTTTAGATTTTTAACCACTTCCTCCTTTTACTGCATATTACATAACAATTTGGGCCTAGAGACTTTTTCAAAGCTGTTTATTAAAAAAATTTTAAATTCCAATCAATATATTTAAATAACTTAAATATTCTAGAATTTCTCTGCTCAACTGACAATTACCTTTCAAAGCATACACTTCATGTAGTTTCCTTAAATTTTTAGGCTCAGAAACTACTCTGAAGTCTGCAGCAATTTTTCTAATAGGTCCTCTACAGTTACGCTGGAACTGTAGGTGTTACAGACTCGAATATTCAGGTTTTTCACAGCATCCTTTCTATGATTTTTTTCTTTTTTTTTTTTTCCAGTGGCATTAATTTCACAGTAACGTAGAACCACAATTACCGATTTTCTCCAAGATCTGTTTCTCAGCATTCTGTAAGTGAATACACTGAGAAAGCAGTTATTTGAAAGGTATTTCTGAAGTTGATTTTTACATCCTCACCAAATAGCTACGCTTCATTTACCACACATAACCAAGAGCTACTACAGCATATTAAGAAAAACTAAACCAGACCAATGAGGAAGACAGATGCTAACTTTCTAGCTACATGTCTCAAAAGCTTCACAAAATCTAAAAGGTTTTCCACTGTTTTCAGTGAAGAGTGATGCCACAGTACTCTCTGCCTTCATATAAGGGGACAGAGCCTAAACCTGAAAGTTCTAGTGGTCTTCAGTGATTTGTAAAACCTGATCTTTATTCATTGTTTCCCCTCTCCTTCTCTGCCTTGCATGAACATCAAATGCACTTGTGTAAACCCAGGCATTCCTAACGACAGTTTATAAAGACAGAAGCACTGTTGACCTCTACCTTCAAATACACACTTATGGAAGTCCACGTGCACCCTAAAAGGCATGTTCTGACAACTGAAGGCTTCATTCCCATTGCAGCCAGCCATTAATGTCAGAAACAGGTGCTCTACTTCTGAAGCAACAAGCACAAACCTTCTTTCCGGATCAGATCAGCGCTCCCTAAAAACTGAATCTACAACATATTCTATTAAAACACAACATGTTTTCTATAAATTTTGTCCTGTTTAGTCACTTGGTATCTTGTGGAAAGACACATCTTAGCCTTGAAAATGTTTTAATTCATTGTAATTCCATTCAACCTTTCACTAAAACACTTTTCATACCAAATGCACCCATTTCATACAGCTTCAGGTTGGTTGTTCAAATATACTCTTGATTCCTTCAACAATCTGTTTATCTCCTTTAAATTAGCTGCATGTAAGGTACAACATGTCCATATTTTCACAGTGGACTAACCTAACCTCAGATTCACTACTATTTCCATTCAGTAACTTAACTAGGCAAGTTCTAAGAACTGACCTCATATTTCATATTAAAAACCCTGAATTACATATGAAGTCACACTTGTTCAGAGAAAACCCAATTCTTCTCCAAAAAGAAACTGCAAAAATGTGAATCATTTAAAGATAAGCCTGGATTTTTAAGAAAAAAAAAAAAACACAAGTTATTTTACTCTGTTTTTACTTACCACTGCCTCCATATCTGTAATATTTGGTGGTGCATAGGTTGTTTGTACCATAAACTTGTGTTTACTCTTCTCATTTGGGTCATAGTCAAAAGGCTGCAGCATTACTGTTCAAAAGAAAAAATAAAGCACAAAACTGTGATTCTTCAGCTAATCCCTGTAGCAAGCATGCTATCCACTTTAGATTTGCTCTTCACTGAACAATCACTGAAAGTTAAAATGCAAAGGCAATGTTGAAAATAGAGCAGACATACACTGTAGCAACAGGTACTGAGAAGTCAGAGTCTAGTGTAGCTGCCATGATTATTTCTCTTATTACTATAGCTAAAAGATATTTCATATACAAATATGAACAAACAGATGCCAGGAGCGAGACAGAAGAAAAATTACACCTAAATATGTGTCTGTAGGTACACTTGTAACTTGGTCTACCAGACGATGAGGGCTCAGTGAACTGAAAAGAATAATTATTTGGCAGTGGTCACTGGTCTTCCACAGAATGGAAATTCCAGTTCATTATATCTTTATACAAAATTAAAAGAGAAGCTGAAGTGGTTTCAGAAAAATATTTTTAAAATTACATGGACTCCTGTACCAGGTACGTGTACCTATTTTACAGCAATGAAAAAACTGTAGCAGCAACACCGATATAGCTAGAAAACCACAAAAGCAGAAGGAAGAACAGTAACAAATAACAGTAATAAGATGTGAAAGAAGAATAACACACTATATTATGAAAAGAAAAAATCAACAACAAGCAATTGCTGGTAACAAGTTAACAACAATATAATAAATAGTATATTGATAATAAATAGTAAACGTAGGCACCAAGGTAAAGAAAAACAGGTCTTATCCAATTAGTGGTTTTGGAAAAAATTAATAAACATGGCTGAAGAAGGTTACTTAGTGATTCACAACTGAACGATAAAAAAATGTCTGTGGACTTCCTTAAAATTACTAAAATCACATCTCCCACAATGAAATGAAATTAAAAACTGACTTGGCTCTGAATCAGCACAATGCATTAAACAGGCTGAATACAGCTAACACTATCTCAACATTTACTTTTGAACATAAGAGTTCCATCCCACAGCATCCTAGTTATTTCTCTCTGCACAACAATGCGAGAGAAATCTATTTTTAATTATACGAAAGATGACTCAGCACTGAAAACATTCAGTTGAGAGACTGATGAGATAAAGTGGGTCACTAGAAAAATAATCTGTGGATTTAGTTTACCAAGTGATCCGAAAGAAATTATATGCTTAAAAACAAAAAGATGAAGCTGACACTTTGGGGAAGAGAACTCAATTCTGAAAAGCACCATGGAGTCAATACAACTAAACAACTGCACTTGAAAGCATCTTGGGGTCACTGTAGCTGAATAACTGCATGAGAATCCAGTAATACAGAAATAGGCATATCAAAGATTCCCTGTTATGTAAACTGAAGAGTTGAGCAGGATGACACTGTTTCCCTTTATTGGTGAACCTGAAGCTAAAATACTGTTTACGGCTCCACTATTGACTCGTGTAAAAAACCAAAATATTTAAAGTGTTAAAAGGAGGATTTGTAACTATGAAAACACATAGGATGGAATCCTTCAGTCTATTCAAATCCCTGAAGGGAAAGCCCATCAAGATTCTCACTGGGATGTATGACTACCCACTGGAAAGATCTCTGATACCAGATCAAACACACAGCTAAGACAAAATGGCTGTAAGTCATAGCTGGAAATAAAGAAGGTTTTTGACTACATCTTAAACCAATTCTCAGTAAAATGATCTTTCATCCACAGGATGCTGGACCTCTTGCCTGTGATCTCCACAACCTAGCCTATATGATCTCTACAAGACCATAGCCTGTAAAAAGGGGATTCCCCTCTCTCCAAGCTGGGAAATATAGCAGGTCCAGAGAAATAAAAATTTTCTCATCTCATACAGTCACTGGTTTTAGAATCCCCTTTTTCCAGAGATTCTACCTCAAAACCATTAGGAGAATGACCTCCAAAAATCATTTGCCAAATCAGAAGACTGATATCTAGTCTTTTCCTATTTTCTTGAGAATGTCCACTCCCACATTACTAAGTCCTCATCTTCTGGATATTGTGCAGTCCACTACAGGATTAGACTATTATACATCCAGTTATCAAAATCAGTTATCTAACTTGTCAGAATGAAGTATGTAAACCAAACCTACATGGAGGTTCATGCAAAAATAAAAATAATATTGCCTGGTTTCAGGGCTACATTTAGCTGAAAAGCACTTCTTTTTTTAACCTCCTCACCAAAAAAAAAAACCCCAAACAAAACAGAAATCCAATCAAAATAAAAAAACCACTCACCAGAATAAGGAGAGTGTCTCTATAGTGAAACGTACTAGATTATTCAAATGTAAGGGCTACAAACTGTTCCACATATCCAAAACAACAGAAAGTTTAATTTTTTAAAAGCAATTTAACTCTTGCCCCTTAGCACAGACTACTGTGATAAATGGAAGAATTATGAAACAATAGAGTTCAGGGACCAATACTACAGTCAAAAAAACTAGCCTACAATTGTACATTAATTTTTTTAAAATGCAATGAACTATGAAATGTTATACTTTAAACAAATCAGAGCAGCCAAGCAATGCCCTACTTCAAGATTCATGAATATAGAAGTCTGAAGCAAAGGTACTGTTAATGTCACTGCCCATTTCCAACACTCTTTTCTTCCTTTCAGAGAGCCACAGATAAATGTGACAAATGGCAAGTATTCCTATATGGAGCATTTTTTCAAGTATCATTGCAGCTCTACATCAGGTTGCCATCACATAATGAAGGGAAACAGTTCTATTTTTAAAAGAACTTTTTAAAAAAACAGTATCTTCAAACAGTCTTAAAGATTAAGCATTAGAAAACTTTATTAAAGGCCTTAAAAACATGTAAACTACAACTGCGTATATTTGTTTTTACCAGAAACAATTACAGACGATCCTGGGTCAATAATTCCACTGTTGGGTCTCACACAGTATCGGCGAGGTGCTGTGGTCTTGACTTTGAAGCATACTTTTCTATCTGATGGATTTCGTAGTTTAAGATTTGTAGTTACTACATCTGTAAAGGGACCTGGGAAAAAAAAAAAAGGTGATTCTTTTTTAAATATACACATATGTCTGGAAAATAAATCTGTTTATACAGTACAAGTAACTCTTAAAATATAACTTGACGCCAACAAACTTCTAAAAGCGGGTTAAATCATACATCTGTTAGGCACACACATTGTGTTATATGCAAAGAACGCTCTACCAACTTAGTTATAATATTCATTACAGCGATGAACAAGTAATGCTTAAACAGTATGACAGAATCAAGCTGCTGACGCAAGAAATTCATATCTACATATGCTAATTTTACCAAATCATTCTTAACATCTGAAATACCTAGAAGGTAATGGTCACATGCAAAAGTACGCTTTTCTGATTTTTTCCTTAGAAGTAGAGGCAACACATCCTTTGGAAATCTTTCAATTGTTTAAAGAAAGAAAACACTGATACTGAAATACAGTAACTGCTCTTGAGATTTCAACTTCCATATGCTTCTTCAATTTCTGAGCTCCTACAGAGTTGACAGAACGAGACATCAACCTCATCTTTTAAACTCAAAATAAGCAAGAGAGATGATACTCTGCTTATGAATATATTCTAACCGATCCTCAAAAAAGCAAGCTGTAGTTGTTGTATTTACGTAGTCAATGCAGTGTACTCTCTAAACTGCGTTTATGTTAAACCAGCAGGATAGGAATTTCCTCCAAGATGGGATGGAACAAGAGGCATCATTTCAATGTCAAGCTGCAAAAGCACATCTTCCAGCAGGGATCACCCCCATGCAATGCCACACAGTAACAGCACAAAAAGTAAGTAAGGTTCACAGCATTCAGAGCTGTGTTAATCTCCCTTATGCTCATGTCATCTGAAGGCAAGACTGCACAGGCTCTTAGAAGAATGTAACTTAGAAAATGGTATTTCATATGAACATGAAATATATTCAAAAACATTTTACGTGTACACTGACTTTTGAGAATCTTCTTTACAGCTGTTTAAAATTACACACTAAATAACTACAAAATAATTTTCATCAGTATTGAAAACATTAAAACTTTTGTATTAAAAACTATGAAGAAAGCAACCTTTAGATTAAATTCAATGAAAAATATATGTGATTTGATTAAGTGCAAACGCACAACAAACCCACTAATTGCATGAGACAAAGGAAGTAATTCTTTTCCAAGCACCTTATTCCACAGAGGTGTCCGCACTATTCCAAAGGAATCAGCTCTGGCTACTATCAAAGATGTTACTACACTAGAGGGCTCACTGATGTCTTTGTTTCTATACCTCATTCCAAATCCTTGATTTTGAGAGAGGGCTAAACAAATGTTTAACACAAAACATCAAGATAAAGGACTAAATCAATAAAGGACTAAAAAGATAATTACCGAGAACCAGAATACTGAGATGTCGATGAAGATACATGTGAGCTAGGTTTAAATTCAATGAGGCTCTTTTGAGAAAACAGGAATTGGTATTACTTGTCTGAAACGTCACTTTTATCTGACTTTTACATGGTAGATGAAAAAACCCTGTCAGTCCAAGCAAATTTGACACAGCCCCCAAGAGGAAGATTTACAAAACTACTTCAAAGTTTTCTGCCACTTGTGTCTTGATGGTTATTGAAGGATCCAGTTGCCTCTACTTACAGAGTGTGATCCAAAACAGCTCCTGTCACCCACACCGCAAGCAGAACTAAAATCAGGCAGCTGAATACTCTAAGACTGGTGATAAACTCATAAACCACCAAACATTTACGTTTTTCAAGCTACACACCATTTTTGAGGAAGTTATTTTGGGAGTTTTACTAACAGCCACCTGGGCTATTAGCCATCTAATAACCACTCCTCTTGCAGTGCCCAGAGTCAGAGCACCTTGAACACAGCTTTCAGTGATGTGGGTTGCTTTTTTTCAATTGCAACTCTAGCAACCTGAGAAGGTCTGCTTCTCAATCTTTGCAACTACTTCTACTAAGGATATTCTGCACAAAAGAAAAACAGGCACAGTTCAAAGGCTCATTTTGAAAGGCACACTCATCGAGAAAAGGAGATATACCATTCGAAAACAACTTGTTTCAAGACAAAGCAGCTATGAATTTATAAACTGATGATAAACTGCTTTTTAAGCCAAAATAAAAGATCCTATGTTTCTTTTGAGACATGAAAGGTCTTCTCATGCCTGCCTTTTTAAAGTGTGCAACAATGAGATAAGATTCAAAATACTCTTCAGATTATTCTGATATTTACTGTCAGCTTCAACACCTCAGATAATTAGAAGAAATCTGCCTTTCTTCCTCAAGTACATGAATGCAGTGACCTCCTTTGCATTTCCTGGATTCTTCACAAAAAAAAGCTTTTAGCTCAGGGACATTTTTTGTCATCAGACATCTCTTTCTGAGGGGATTGACATCTTTTCCAAGGTCTAGAGCACCCTTCTGTGACAGCTTTACCTTTCACCTGCTTTCTAAAAGCTTTAATGAAAAAAGCTGTTTAAAGTCTCTCAAGACCTCAACCATCAGATGTAATCAATAGGTGGTAACAAACTGCTGCACAAAAGGAAAAGATGACTGAATTTCACTGATCCTGCATAACCCAGCTGTTTCGGTAGTTCAGTGGAGTATCGACAGTGTGGATTGGAGCATGGACAGCTGAGAGGGGAAGGATGGTATATTAGAAAAAAAATCTATTACCATTCAGAGGAGCCACACAATCTAAATTAGTGTGACATATCCTTCAAAAAAGAACTCTGCAACATCTGAAGAGGACTCTGGACTTCACAATCACACAAACATGAATACCACTACCTCTAGGGGAGCTGGGATATAAAGTACAAACCGGCACTAACAGCCCTTAATCATGACCATTCCTTGAGAAAAACAAGTGGCAGGATGGGGAGAGAACCAGACGAAGAAATGTTTTGGATCACACCACAGAGACTGCATCTAAACAAGGAAAAGAACGGGCAAAATGGATACAGACATTCTGCACATGCACTAAAATGGACAAATGCATGCCCACTTCACCTCAGAAAACATTCAGCTACACCAGGACAGTATTATAATCTCAAAAGTAGCATCTTTTCTGCTGTTTGCATGACACCTGGGCACAAGTAGGTTTTCATTTAAGCACTTAAACCTCAGACAGGCTCACATCTAACTGTACACACTATACAAAAGCTTAAGACTTTCTTTTATCCTGTATTTGTACAACTTAACGGACTTCTGGATCCACAACTAGGGTTTTCAGAAGCTGTGGTAATTCAACTAATCAAATCCTCAAGCTATACTATGGTGTCTAATGACAGGATATCATTGCTTTATAAACCTGTAATTTCAATCTAACCGCCTCTGGCAGTTACAGTTACTTTAAAAGGGACAAGGAGTTCAGCAACTTCCTTAGTAGTGTAAATTCAAGACACCAATTACATCATCTTCCTGGAATAAAAGTTGTGAGAGTGCCAGGTTATTCCAACCATTTTGAAAGGAGCAGTGACAATCCATGCGAAAGGAGCAGTGACAATCCATGCCACAAGTCTTCCTGTCGTCTTGACTTAGAAAGGAATGAGAGACAACTGCCTAATCACACTCAGAAATGCTGGACATCTCCAAAAACATTATGTGCTGAATTTCTATTTCAGCAATCTTGCAGTGCAGCCACTGCAACATTACTGCCAAGGTTGCCTCTGGCAACTACACATCTTGGACTACAGCAACTAGTGGGCAGGAAGAAATGCCACAGATTCTGCAGAGCCAGTTTCCACTGCTGAAACACAGTGCCAAGATTCCCAGCTTGCCACAAACTTGCCAGTTATGCTGCAGTAAAACCAAAATACTACATATTACTGGACAGGTAGATTGCCTTGGGTAAGGTAAGAGACCAATGTCAGTATCTAACTGTGGGCAGTACAGAGCAAACAAGGCACTTCTGAGAAGCAGACAGGTTTGGTTCGCAAGAAGTTCCATTTAAAATTAGCAAGGCTTTCATAATGTACACAGAGAGCCTGTCTTAAAATATCACCTCTATCTAAAATTGGATAAGAAGAATTCATGATTTTATTAAATTACATAAAATCTTTTATAATTAGAAGGCAGATAAGAGTTGCACAAAAATGAGCATGCATTATTAAACAAAACCAACAGCATTTTACAAAACAGCTTAAGTGTTAAGCATATTGCCCGCTTCAATTTAAGACATTAAACTGTAGCTATTACAAAAGCCAATACCTGAGCTGACTGCCAGAAAGCACTCTACTTCATGCACTGCATTGAAGTTTATTTAAGCTGTAAACTGGCACAGTAAAGTTCTACAGACTCAGTCACATCTAAAAACAATGTAAGTACACATTAAAAAGTACACAGACTGGTAAAAGGAGGACAAACTCCTTAAAATGTGTAAGGTACAGTATTAACTTCAACTGGGATTATATGCTTTAAGTGGAATGCTGTTTTTTCACAACTGCTGCATCATCTTTGAAATCCCAAGAACACTTGAAACATACAGAAGACTTCAAGGCACCTTTACGAAAACAAACTCAGGCAGTGTAGTTTTCTTTCAGTGTACAATAAAGCGAGGCTGGGCAGACAGAGAAACATCATTTACTGCATTTGACAATTTGAGCCCTAATGAATGAGAAATGAGTTCAAGTCAGCAGGATAAAAACTAGCAGTACTATTGTAAATCCAGAAAGACAAATTTTGAGAACAAGTTAACTGACTTCTAGGATAGACCTGGTCAGAAGAGAGTAAGATCTCCATCAGCTCGCTCTGCCAAAATCAAAAGTAACAATGGAATAAAAAAAAAGTTAAATTAACATGGCCCCATGTAATCTATATTTGTATATAATATATTTGTACAATGTAATAAGAAATTTTTAACTAGGCCAAAATTTAATTGTTTTTCTTTCCCATCATTTCCATTGCAATCAGGGAAGGACTGAGATTGGAAGGGACTTCTGGAGGTCATCTGGGCCACCCAGATGCCAGCTGCCCAGGACCATGTCAAGGACGCTTCTGAGTATCTC